ACAGTTTAACCAAAGTGTCTTTAATTGATTTTTACTCTGACAACTTTCCATTAATCTAAGTAAGGGGGAACGAATGCTGCGCAGGCAGAACAGCTTTATGATGAACTGTTCTCTCTTTGCAGAGATGTAGAAAATAAAGTGCCGACTGAGTGAAATCCATCAATCTCTGTTTATTTAACTGGAGTAAATAGTTGAATACTTTTTTTCCCACTACAGTTTCCATCAGTGTGACAGAAAAGTTTGGCTTATTGAGCCATGTTTATCCTGCCGGGTTAATCCCAGGATTAACTGGATTACAGCAGTTAAAGATGGAATCTTAAAACAAACAGCATAAAGCTTTTTTTAAATCACTAAAACTTTCATTTCAATTTAACCCAGATGTTTGATTCAGAATAATCAGCTTTGGCTTCGGTTGTTCTGAGCTTTATGGAAGCCTGATCTGAATGTATTTATAAGGGAACCAGTCGCATGGTGGGCTGAACCGTGCTTCTCCTCGCCGGTCCGTCTGTCATTCTGATTAATATTAGATTTTTCATCCATGCTTTATTCTACCTTCTAACTTTTTATGGGTTTTGCAAATTTTTTAGTGCAGCATTAGTCCTGCTTCAGCTGAATAAAACCGATTATTTTCTATAGCTGATCTAAATTTCTTAATTTCCGGTCAATCCAGGTGTGCCTCAGGGCTCTAGTCAAGAGCCCTTGTCATTTTCATAATACGTGCTCTTTCTTTAGCAAGTTATGAACACTTAAGACGTTTTTATTGCCTCTATGTAGAAGGGTCATACATCTGAAAGCTAATCAGGGCGCTGAGGAGGTCTTGCATGAGTGTGAAAATATTTGTTGGTGCTCCTGTCCTCTGGTAGCTCAGGCAATCTAAACTCATGATCCACTAGAGGTTTTTTTTTGTCAAAGCAAGAAACTAGACATAAACTTTGACTCAGGTTTGACATTAGATGATCTGTACCAGTTTTCTTCCTGATCAGTGACAACATATTTTAAATACAGTCAGAGCTGGAAGTAGTTCAGCTGCGGCTTATTTCAACAGGATTGATTATTTTTGGTCATTATTCTCTTTCATGATCATAATGTTAACAGAGAATCTGCTGCTTGGCTTCTGGTTTTCGCACATCACTAAAGGCCAAAACACACTGAATCTGATTCTGTGTCTGATCTGACAGAAAGTTGTGCTTCAGAGGTCGTGGCTTTTAGCATCATTGAAAGTCAATGGGGATGATTTCCTGCAGAGGGCTGCACAGCTCCGACTGAGATGGAGCCTAGGTCTATTTTAGTCGGACTACGCAGCAATTCAGCAGCAATTCAATGGGTCTGACAGGAAGAGAGACGCAGTTAAAGTAAAACACATCTGCTTTGTGGGAAAATGCAAAAAAAAATATTTTAATCTTGTTGAGAAAGAGTCAGTTTGGAGCATGACAGACTGGCGCAAAAACAATAAATGAAATAATAAAATAGAAAACTTTCCCCATAATAGGAGTTCAGGAGGACAGCAAATGGATAAAGTAGAGATCCCCTTTGAAATTTACAAAAATAAAATAACAAGGGGCAGATAGCAGTTTACGTCGCTATGCTAGCTCTATTTCCCGCTGATGAAGCTAATCCCTGGAGGTTGATGATCAGGGTGGCTGTTCCCTGGAGCGGGCTGAATATTAGAAGTGACAGAGCTAATGGAGTCCTTCCCACTGAGCCTGAGATCTATGGGTTAAAAAAAAAGAACCTCGTGAAGTTTTAGTGATTTTATTGTTTCTATTGTAAAACTTTTTTTTTTTTAAAGTTAACTCATACTGACTCTGTAGTCTTAAAACGTTCTATTCCTCTCTAGGCTCTGACTCATAATATTGAGCGATTAAATTCTTATAACTTCTAAAAAGATAAAGTGTTTAAGAATTTCAACCAGCTTGTTTTCTTTTGGATGATGGTTTAGCTCCCTGCTGCGAGTTTCTGTAGTAAATGTTCTTTTATTTGGTGTTTTATAGAGCCAGAGGAAGGACCCAGCATCGAGGGTCTGAGCACGTCGCCTCAAGCGTCTATTGGTGAGTAAATCAGTCAACTTTTTCACCTTCTGATGTTTATTATTAAACTCATCGGATCCGTCCAATTCAGTGCTTCAAACATCCTGAGCTGACTGGACTTTCTCCTCTGAGCCAGAAGTTTTTTCTTTTAACTGGTTTCAGCTGAAAGCTCTCTGGGAATCACCATGTTGGTGAATTCATGTTTCAGTCTCATTCATCTTGGTGAAAAGCTGCTGGTAACTAGATGGAAACCAGATTCCCTGCTAAGTCCTCTGTTATGGGTTCAGCCGTCAGAACCACACTGACAGAACATGAACCTCTGGCTGCTTTACAGGGAAAACATAAAGAAACTGGATCAGAATCAGGAGAAAACAGGCCGAACAAAATAATCTAAAGGTTTATCTGAAGGAGTTTAAGCTCAGCTGTTCCTGTTTCTGACTGAAATCAATATGGCCACCGTCTCATACTGTAGAGAACTCCATGCGTTTGGCACCGCAGAACGGACGGACGCCTAAAGGTGAAGGTTTTGAGTGTTTGCTGCTCGGTTGGAGCTTCTCATGGAGAACCTGTTCTGGTTCTCTGCTATTTATGGCAAACCTGCTGTTTGACAAGATGTTTGCGGCAGAATAAAGCTGAACAGTCTAATCTTAGTGCATTGTGTAAAAAACAGCCTTTGTGCAGCTAATCATGGGTTTAGCTGTGCTTCTCTGGAAGAACGGGGCTGCTGACGGATGGTTTAACAATTCTGCTAAATGTCCTGATGTCTCGCACCTTTAAACAAGTTCCTTCTCCTCTTTCTGTTGGTTCCACTGTGGGACTGCATGAATAACATCTGCTGAACGTGAGCCTTTAGTGACCATGTTGCTGCTGTAAGAGAATTAACCACAGCAAGACCAGCTTGGTGTTTCTGCCAGTTTTATTAACAAATCAAGTCTCTGATTTAAACAAAATAAAAACATTCAGTGTGTGAGACGTTCTGCTGTGTTGCAGAAGTGAAGCCATCCATCATTGGGAAGAAGAAGCCCATGGCTGCTAAGAAAGGGGTGAGTTTTACCGACCTGAACCAGCGTTTGATCCAACGGGGATCCATGGGGATAAAAATATCAAATAATTAATTTTTAACGAGAAGAACTGACCCTTTTCAACATGGAAGCTGCTGTCTCAAAAAGTCTGAAAATAAATGCTAAATAATCCAAAATGAAAAAATCAGACAATAATTTAAGGTTATCTGAGGTTTTATTTTTTTATTGTCCAAATCCAGAAACCTAAAAGTAAGAATAGCATAAATATTTAATTTACATTTGTCCTTTCTATCAATACCATAAAATTAGTTTTGCATCCAGATACGGTGTTTAAGTATCAATACTTTTCAATCATGATCCATTCAGTTGCATCCTGGGCTGATTTTAACTGTTTATAAAATCCAATCAGATTACTAAATGTAAATAAAGGCGCTCCATGGCGTAGGTTCCACGCTGCCATCAGCAGGTTTATGCTCTAAAACCATTAATGGGTCCTGAAGCTCCCAGTAAACATTAAGTTTATTTGAACCCGAGTCGTTTTATTGTTGTGTTGATGGAAAAGGAGCCTAAAGAATCATTCGGAAGAGGATTAGGGCCAATAAAAAAATTTATTTCAGTATATGAGAAAGAAGTCAAAATTCTGACTCTATTTTTTTTCTCAGAATTCTGACTTTAATCTCAAAATTCTGACTTTTTTTCTGAAAATTCTGACTTTAATCTCAAAATTCTGACTTTTTTCTCAAAATTCTGACTTTTTTCTCAAAATTCTGCATTTTTTTTCTCAGAATTCTGACTTTAATCTCAAAATTCTGACTTTTTTTTCTCAGAATCCTGATTTTAATCTCAAAATTCAGACTTTTTTTCCCCTCAGAATTCTGACTTTTTCTCAGAATTCTGACACTTTTTCAGAATTCTGATTACTAGCAAACATGTTAGCATCAAGCTGTAGCCATGTCTGTCTTAGAGACTAAACAAGCTCTCTTGTTTTATTAACTTCTGTCTTGTTTTATCAACGTGGGTTAGAGGAAAACTTCAGTTTCTCTGTATCTGGAGTTGAACTGATAATTGAAATAAACAGAAAAGCCAAACATTATTTAAATTATCTGATAAGATGATTTCTTGTGGCTTTAGTTCATATAGTTGCTTAAGTTATTATTTCCTGGTAATAATGGTTGTTTTGATGCTGTAATAATTTCATTTCATTAGAATAAACATCAACAAACAGTCTGGATTGATGTAATAAGTAAGACAGTTTAGGTGTCCAAGCAATAAATGCATCAGTAGGAATTGATGAACTAATGTTTTATGTGTTTAATAATGAATGAATGAATGAATGAAAGCTAAACGATTATTGAGAGCAGAGCTCAATCAATCAGGAAATAATTTCTGTCTGTGATGCTGCAGCTCGGTGCTAAGAAAGGCCTCGGTGCGCAGAAGGTGAGCGGGAAGAGCTTCTCTGAGGTGGAGAAACAGGCTCAGGTGGCTGAGAAGATGAGAGAGGAGCAGGCAGCGGAGGCAAAGAAGCAGGCTGAGGAGTCCATGTAAGGAAAGCCGTTCTCCTTCACCTCAGAGGTACGTTCAGAAGCTCAAGGCTGTGATGGACAACTCTCTGTTCCAGAGTGGCCTCCATGCGCCTGGCCTACAAGGAGCTGGAGATCGATAGGAAGATGGAGGACAAGAAGCTGCGGAACCTGGAGGGGAAGAAGAGGGAGCAGGCTGAGCGGCTGGGGATGGGCTTCGGCAGCAGGAGGTAAGGCGTCCGACGGGCAGCTCCTCTGCTCCGCCGTTCAGGACCTAAACGTGTCGCTGCTGTCCTTTCAGTGTCATGTCTCACTCGGTGATGTCAGAGATGCAGGTGATTGAGCAGGAAACTCCTGTTGGAGCCAAGTCTTCCTCCCGCTCCAAGCTGGACGTGTTCGACGAGCCAGGCTTCACTTCTGGACCCCCGAAGTATGCCAGAACCCCTCCCCTTTTAATAGCCGACCCCGGACCCCACTGGGTTTAACCCCCGCTCTCTATCTCAGGTATAAAGACAACCCGTTCTCAGTTGGGGACAGCTTCGGGTCCCGCTGGGACGCAGACGGAGGAAGCGCCTCTTTTACATCATCCTGGGCTCTGGAGAAGGAGGAGCCCAAAGAGGAGGTGACCATCTCCAGCATCCAGCCAATCGGAGAGAGGTATCCCTGCTCTGTCATACAGTCGGTCTGTCTGAGTCGGTTCCGGTTCTGATCAATGTTCTTCACCAGGCTTCCCAGCAGGAGGAAAGCCGAGGCGTCCTCTGCCATGTCCGAGTCCAGTGAGGCCAGGGATAAGTTCGCCAACGCCAAGGCCATCTCCTCAGACATGTTCTTTGGTCGGGAGAGCAACGCCGAGGTGAGGCGCCTGGGTTAGGTCTGACCCGGTTCTTCGCTCCGGTTCCACTCAGCAGCCTGAACATGTCTTACCTCTGTTCTCTGTAGTACGAGGCGAAGACGAGGCTGGAGGGCATGTCTGGCAGCACCTCCATCAGCTCGGCCGACCTGTTTGGAGATGACAGCGACCCCAGAGGTGAGACGGGCTTCCACCCACTGAGCTCCACGCCAGAACCAGAGCAGATAAACCATCAAACGAGTCGGCTTTAGGTTCGAGCTGCTGGGAAACATTGAAGCTTCATTTGGCTGCAGGCCTGAATGTTACCAGTTCATGGCTACTTAGCCTCCCATCCGACAGGAAGTCTTTTATCGCTCTTTCCACAAAAAACGGCCCTTTTCACCCCAAAGCAGTTCCTTTTCTTTGAATCAGTTCTAAAAAAATTATTCCATAAATCAGGGGTCTGCAACATTTTCCAGGCCAAGGACCCCCAAACTAGAGTCCTGCAACGGGTCGGGTACCCGCGGGTCCCCGACGGGTCACCCGCTAAAATGCTCTTTTGCGGGTGAAAAATACATATCGGGCGGATATTTTTTTAGTGCGGGCGGGTAGTTGGTGATTTTTTTTTT